TTTATTATTTGGCCTATTCTGTTTTTTAAGGTGTTATTTTCTTCAGCATTTTTTTGTGCCTCTTTTACCAGGCTGTTGACTCTTTTTTCATGATTTTCTTGCATCGCTCTTATTTCTCTTCCCAATTTTTCCTCTACTTCTTTTACTTGATTTTTAAAATCCTTTTTGAGCTCGTCCATGGCCTGAAGCCAATTCATATTTTTTCTTTGAGAAGCTTTGGATGCAGAAATTTTGACTTTGTCGTCTTCTTCCGAGTGTATGTTCTGATCTTCCTTGTCACCACAATAACTTTCAATAGCCAGAATTTTTTTCTGTTGTTTGCTCACTTCTCAGTCTATTTCTTTTCTTTTCTTTTTTTTTTGATGAGGCAATCAGGGTTAAGTGACTTGCCCAGGGTCACACAGCTAGTAAGCGTCAAGTGTCTGAGGCCAGATTTGAACTCAGATCTTCCTGTCTCCAAGGTCAGAGCTCTATCCACTGCACCACTTAGCTGCCCCTCTCAGTCTATTTCTTGACTTTTAACTCTATGCTAAAGTGGGGCTCTGCTTCCCAAGTGGAGGGGGCACTGTCTCAAGCTTCAGATTTTTTGTGCAGCTATTTTCAGAGGTAACTCTGGGGACCTGTAAGTTTTTGGCTCTTCCAAGATGGTGTGATCTAGGGAGAGGTGTGTTTACTACTCTCCTGCACTGTGCACTGGTCTGTGAGTGACCGCAAGTCACTCTTTTCAACCCTGGAACAGTGACCAGGGCAGCTTCAGGCTCTGCTGTGCTAGTGCTCCTCCTCGCCCTGGGACTAAAACCCAGAACATGACCCAGATCCAAGTATAGGCAATGCCACAGAGTGCTGCCTCTGGTGCCAGCAGAGGGACCTTTGTCATCTTCTGATCGGTTGTTTGACCCCCTTAGCACCCGTGGGCTGAGAGGTCTGGAAGCTGCCCCTGCTGCCACTGATTCAGGCGCCCTGAGGCCTGCTCCTAATGAGCTGGGGTCCGTCTGCGCCGGTGCGGCCTGCACTGGACCGTGGTCCTCTCTCATCCTGGTGCAACAGACCTTTCCTGCCGGCCTTCCAAGCCGCCTTGGGCTGGAAATCTGCTTCACCTTTTTTGTGGGTTATGCTGCCCCAGACTTTATTCAGAGCCATTTTTAAAGGTATTTGGAGGATTTTGGGGGAGAGCTCAGGAGAGTCCCCGTCTTTACTCTGACATCCTAGCTCCTCCTCAGTTAGAGTTTCTTAAAATAAGGTCCATGAACTTGTTTAGAAATTTTCTTTTGATAACTGCATTTCAATATCGTAAGATTCTTTGTAAGCCTACGTATTTTATCTTAGGCATTTAAAAACACGCTGAGAAAGGATGTGTAGGCTTCACCAGACTGCCAAAGGGGTCCGAAGACAAAAACAACTGAAGAACCCCAGTTCTAGGCGTGGGGAAACACTGGAAGTGTAGCAGAGTCGTGACAAAAAGCGGTGTGTTAGGAAAATTAACAATTAATCTGGAACTGGAATCTATGCCCCACCCACTGCTGCTGCTTTTCAAACCATCAGAGCACATCATCAGAAGGCACTTTAAAGATGGATGATCTAGCCATGAGATCATGGACTTCAGAGGTCACCTAGCCTAACTCTCTCATCTTACCAGTGAAGAAACTGAGGCCCAGAGATGTTAAGCGACTTCCCTCAGATCACTGGAATCAGAAAGAATGGAGTTCAAATCCAGCCTCAGACGCTTACCAGCTGCGTGACCTTGGGTAAGTCACTTAACAACTATCTGTCTCAATTTCCTCATCTGTAAAATGGGAATAATAGTAGCACCTACCTCCCAGAGTGGTGAGGATCAAATGAGATAATATTTTGTAAAGCATTTTGCACATCTTAAGGCAGTTATGTATCTGCTGCTATTATGATACTTCTTGTCTTACATGCAGATGCGCACAAAACAATTAGAGGCCAAAAAAGACACCACGCTGGTGAAATGCTAAATATGGTTATATAAAACAAGTAGCACAGAAAATAAGATCTGTGAATATTTAGAAAGGGTGGAGATCAATACGGACTTAGGTAGCAGGCATCCTGGGAGACATGGGACTTAATGACTACAAGAAAGCTCAGGATGGTTATAAGGATATTTGAAAAGATTTGGGGGGCCCTTAGAGATCACCTCGTCCAGCCCCCTTACTTTATGGAGAAGAAAGCTGAAGCCCGCAGAGCTTAAATGGGATCATAAACTCATAAATCTAGAGCTGGAAAGGACCTCAGAGAAACCCCTCCCTCATTTTTACAGATGAGGAAACTGAGGCCCAGAGAGAAAGCTACTTGTGTAAGGCCACAGATGGGGTAAATAGCAGTGCCAGGATTTGAATTCAGGTCTCCTGACTAAATGCTGAGCCTTTTTCTGGTGTTTCCAGTATCACCAGACTGCCTCCAGCATTGGGTTTCCACAAAACTACAAATGAAGACACACAACTCAAATGTTCCAAGAAGAAACTGCTCTCATTTGTTCCTGACAGGGTAATTCTAGCCAAAGGAAGTGAGCAAGTGCTGGTGGAAAGAGAACCTCTCTGGGACACGGATGCCCTGTTCTATCTACCGCTTGCCGAGTGACCCCCAGGCAAGTCTATGAGTCATTGTGCCTCAGTTTCTCCCTTTGTGACACAGGAGGCAAACCTTATCTTCTCACCTCCGATCTCCTTGTACTGAGGCTGCTTATTGAAGCGTCGTTATTGGAAAGGACTTCTAGTCTTTGTCTGCTTTACCCCAGAAGCTCCGCTCTGCCCCAGTCCTCAGCCCCCTGCCAAAGCAACGAGGAATTCGACACAACCTTCCACCCTCTCCTAGCTCCCACCTTCATGAGGAGAGAGGTGGCCCTGAGCTAAAGAATGTATTAAGTGCAGGAACAGTTCCAGGTGAGCACCAGCCCCATACACCCCGAGGCCCCCGTCTGTCACCATTCATTTCCACCCAGAGCCCCAAGTTGGCTCTGACAGCTCCCTGGCCCACTTCTCCCAGGCCTCGAGCTCCGGGGAACAGATCAAAGGCCAGTTTCTGTCTTCGGCTCCATCCCTGTGGGCAGCTGGGCAGGGCTGCCTCCTTGTGCAAAGGGCTCCACCCAGGCGTGTCTGCAGAAAGGCAATCTATTTCTCAGAGAGAGAACATGAAATGAGGCCATGGAGAAGGAGCCGGCCCAGTGCTCAGCCTGAGATCCGATGGTTTGCTTTTGATTTTGAGCGAGTCTGTCCTGGTCCCACACATTTGTCTTCCACACAACCCAAGAGAGTAGTTTACCCTGCTTCTCTGCCTTCACACAAGACCAATCCAAGTTGTCACCCCACTGTGTGTAACAGTGCCTGGTGCACAGTAGGTGCTTAATGAATGCTTACTGATAGAAAACACTGTGCTGTCAGTCTGTGTGTGCAGACATCAAACCCTGGAAAACTGCGGAACCTCCTAGACTAGGATCCATCACCATTCACAGATTATAGGATCATCGATTTCCAGCTGGAAGGGACCTTAAAGGCCATCTAATCCAACAGTCTTACAGTGGAGGAAATTGAGGCCCAGAGAGCTTAAGTTCATAGGATCCAAGACCTGGAGCTTGAAGGTAACTTAGAAGCTACTGAATCCAATCTCTGTTACATAGAGGCCTATTGACCCATAGCTGGAAGAGACTTTAGGGGCCATCTGGCCCAACCCCCTCGTTTATTTATTTATTTATCCATTCATTCATTCATTTATTTATTGGTGAGGCAATTGGGGTTAAGTGACTTGCCCAGAGTCAGACAGCTAGTGAGTGTTACGTGTCAGAGTCCGGATTTGAACTCAGGTCCTCCTGACTCCAGGGCTGGTGCTCTATCCACTGTGCCACCTAGCTGCTCCCCCAACCCCCTCATTTAGAGAAGAGGAAACTGCAATCCAGGGAACCAAAGTAACCTGGGATTTGAACTTGAGTCATATAGCTCTGAGTTCTGTGATCTTTCCATGGAAGCCTGCAAGGCCTTTCCAAAAGCACCAACATGGCGGCCCTCAACCTGTGAGACGCAGATCCCTGGGGGGTCTGAAGGGAACAGAAGAAGGGATGAGCTATTTGCAGGGGGCCCCAAGATCCAGACATCTAATGTCTGAACGCTGCCAAACAGCTCCAGCTATCTCATTAAATGACTCAGTATAATAAATAAGTAAACGTCCAAGGGTGAATAAAGAATTGTCTCTCACACACACAGATTCCTATTTATCAAACATATGTAGATGCTGTGATGATTAATAAAACATCAACTCAGTTAAAAGCCTTGCTGAATTTCTAGCAGCTTTGTATTACCCTCTGTTTTTTTGATCAATGCATCCTAACAGGACAACTGTGATGTTTTCACGATAAAATGGGCCCACGTTATCATCTCCGTGCAATCGCTATTGGGGAGTAAGGTGGAGTTGGGAGCGGGGGGACTTCTTAGGATTCTAGGATCCAGAGTTGAAAGGGACTCAGAGCCCATCTGGTCTAATTCTCTCATTGTACAGATAAGGGAACTGAGGCCCAGACTTGCTCAGCATCACCCAGAAGAGGAATTTGAATCTGGGTCTAATCCTCTTTCCCCAGTATCACACTCTAATTCTTCACAACAATCAGGGACATGCCCTTTACCATGACCTGTCAGTAAACTAAGGTCAACTTGACCTGGAGGCAGAGTGAGTAATGCCCCCCCTACCCCCCCCCGTCATTCCCTCTTTCTATCTGTCACAGAGTCTGAAGTCCCCTCATTAGATCTTTCATCACTGGATGGAAGATTCCATTAGATTAGATTATGCCATTAGACATTTATTCTCTTGTGTGACGCATTTCAGAATGGGAAACCATCCAGTAACTTTTGTACCAACCAATCTCTGGTGCCTCGTGTGTGCCCAGCTCTGGGAGGGCCCTGGATGCAGATGGCTCTGTGGGGTCCCCAGAAGGGGGACTGGCTGGAGAATGGTGGCTTGGGCTCCCCCAAGGTGTGTTAGCTGTGGTCACTCACCATCAAAGTTACGGAGCTGAGTGTTGAGCATCACCTGCATGGAGCGGCTGGTCTCCCGGAGGGCCCCCTCCAACTCGCTGCGACTCCGGTTGGCAAAGTTCTCCTCCATCTCACTGGTGCAGCAGGTGTAGCCCTGTGGGCAGATCCTCAGGTGCTCCCCTGGAAAAGGGGAAAACAGAGATGAGCAAGGTGGCTGAATGGTTGGAGGGCCTAGGGGGCAGCGGCTGAGCCAGTCTGGGGACAGTTCTCTGACTGCACATCGGCAAGGCCAGGCACAGGAGTGATTGGGGAGCTGGAAAAGGGCTGCAGGGAGGGAACACTCTGGAAGGGAGGAGCTGAGGGGAACTGGACCTTGGGGGCCAGAAGAGAGCCAAGGGATGGAGAAGAGGAAGCTGCTGGGGGATGACAAAAGTACCCAGATATGATGCCTCAAAGGTGATCAAAAGAGTCAACCAATCTACAGACATTTATAGGTGCCTACTATGTGCCGGGCACTGCAGGCACCAGAGACAGAGACGGCATAGTCCCTGACCTCAGGGAGTTTATATTCTAATGGCGGACACGATCTATACTTATATAAGTATATACGATGACTGTAAAGTAGTTTTGGGAAGGAGGCGCTAGGGGTGTGGAGGTCAGGGAAACTTCTTTGGGCCTCAGTTTCCTCATCAGCAAAATAAGAGGCCCCTAGAGCTACAAGATCTAATCCTAAGATCCTAGAAGGCGGTACTTGAACTGAGACTGAAGGGAGCCAGGGAAGCTGAGTGTTGGAGGTAAGGGGATGATGTGTTCTAGGCATGGGGGGTCAGCCAGTGCAAAGAAGGTACAGGGACAGGATATGGAGGGTCATGGTTGAGTAACAAGCAGGTCAGCATGGTAGAACCAAAGAGTGAATTAAGAATAACGTGTTAGAAGACTAGAAAGGCATTAAGAGACCTGATTAAAGAGACCACCAAATAGGGAGGAAAGTAGGGGGCATGGGTTTAATTTGGTCTTGAATAGTAACAACCTTTGAGACTCAAATTCCAAGTTTCCTCATACATCCATTCATGTTGAGTAAATTCCCCTTTTACCTCATATCTTGTGATCGCCTCAAGTTGGAGGCAAGGAGAGGGATTATAAGAGCAAAGAGAAAAGGAAGATTATGGTGTACATAGAATTCAGAACAGGGCGAGGGGGTGGGTGAGAATGGGGCACCGTGTCCCAAACCGGTCCAGGGAACAAGGGCCTCTCATCCTAGATATTGGGTCCTGGTTCTTTGGTCTGGAACATCCAAAATGTGAAGGGCCATTTGACAGGTTGCTATGGCTTGACAGAAATAGATAAAATTCTAGATGGTGGGACCTTTGAGATACTCTGGCCTAAGACCTTTATTTTGCACATGGAGAAACTGAGGCCAGGAGAAGTTAAACCCAGTTAAGAAGTAAGCATACTAGACTTGGAGATGACAGACTTGGGTTTGAATCCAAGCACTGATCCTAGCTGCATGAACTTTGGCAAATCATTACTTCTCTGGGACTCAGTTTCCTCAACTGTGAAATTTGGGGAGTGGATTAGCTGAGCTCTAAGCCCCCTCTCAGCTCCAAACTCCATGATCCTTAGATCCCAAAGCATCGACACTGGCAGGAAGGGCTGCTTAATACCGATCTTTCCATCAGTTCACATTGTTAGATTTAGAGGTGACATTTCTCAGATTTTTCCTCGAAAACTACATTTTCTTGGTATTTTATGGAACTTGAGACAGAAGTTGGGGTTCATATATGTGGGCACCTTGGACCAGGACAAGGTGTTCCTGTTATCAGAAGGAATTGAAACTCATTGTCCTGGTCCTCCAACATGATTGTCAAGCACCTTGGCCAGGCAGAGGAAGGCTGCACTGGAAAGGCTTCAGGTGCTCCAGCTGAAAAGGCAACAGAAACCCCCAGGTAGCTGTCGGAGCAACTGCTGCTATGGACCCTTCCTAGCAGTGAAGAATGTGAGCTCCTGAGGGCTCTTTAGTTCTCTGGGGGACTGACCAGCCCACTCAGCCATGAGCCCACCTTATTCCTTGATGCTTTCCCCAAGGGTGACATGGACCCAAGACTACCAGCCCTAGAGGGCTAGGGATCAATGACACCATCAGGGAGCGTTTGGAGCCAATGAGCTCCCTACAGGGACTTGGCCATGTGGGGAGGGAAGGCCCTCTTCCTTCACATTCACTCTCCCAGTGATTTCATTGTCTCCCATGGGTTCAAATATCACCTCTATACAGATGACTCTCACATCCGAGGAATACCGAGGAACTCATAAAAACTGGAGCTAGAAAGGATCTTAGAGGTCATGTATGCCAATCCCCCATTTTACAGATTCCACAGCCCTAATCTCATCCCTGAACGTCAGACCTGCATCTCCAATGGACTCCTGGGCTTTGATTTTCATCTGCAAGTTCCAACACCATGTCCGACTGAAAATCTGGACAATGGAAATCATCGTCTTTCCTGTTAAAGTCACTTGCTTCTTCTCCAAATTTTCTCTTTTTGTTTATGATGCCACCATCCTCCTGGGCACTCAAGTTCAAAACCTCAAAGTCACTTTTTCCTTCTTTCTGCATTTTCCTACTGGTTGGCCCGTCCTGTTGATCCCATCTGCATAAACCCTCCCACCAGTTCCCTTCTTGGCCCTCCCATTGCTGGCACTCATCAGGTCCTCATGGCCCACCTTGGACCACTGCATTCGTCCTCCTAACTGGTCTCCTTCCTTCCAATCTCTATAGTCTATAACCTAAGTTATAGACTATATATGGTCAATTTAATTTTATTCAACAAATCTGCTCTCCTTCTACCCCTTCTAGTGCACTTCCTCTAAGGCAAAGATTATTAATGTGGGTCTGTGAACTTGTCTTGAAAAATAGTTCGATAATTGTACTTCCAAGCAATTCATTTCCTTTGTAAACTCACCTATTTTATTTTATGCATTTATACACTTTTTTTTTCTGAGACATGGTGCATAGACTTTGCCAAAGAGCCCAAGAAGTGGATGACATGACGAGAGTGAAGGACTCTTTCCTTTTTCACTGTCTCATAGTTTGGACATCGTCACTGACATGCCATCTTTCCCCTTTGAATGTGAGCTCTGAGGCTGGGGACCATGTCCTCACCTTAGCATCCTGGGCGGTAACACAGTATAAGCATTAATGAATGCTTATTGACTGTCTCAGGAGGTTGTTTGGGCTGCTGAGTAAAGGACAGATTGGAGACTAGAGACACTGGGGACAGGGGACCAGTTAAATGACATCATCTCCCTGCTCAAAAACCTTCCATATTGTCTATAACCGCCATACTGCCTATAACCTCCATATTGCTTACAGAAAAGAATCTGAATTCAGCCTGTCGTTCAGAGCCTTTTCTAATCCAGGAGCTAGAACAGGATTCACAGATCATCTGGTCTAACTCTCTCATTTGACAGTTGAGTAAACTAAGGCCCATGGAGGTAAAGTAACTTGTCCACAGTCATACAGGTAGTAAGTGGGATTCGAACCCAGGCCTCTGACGTGCAGGGCAACAGAAGGGACCTGGGAGCCCAGGTTTCCTGATTCTCATTCCACCATGCCCTGCTATCTCTTTAGATGTCTTAGCTGTACGCTTAATAGTGCTGATATGAAATATTAATTTGAATCCATCATTTAATGCAAAAAAATTTTTAAGAAAAAAAAAAGGACCAGGCATTATTCCTTCCTCAAGAAAACAGTGAGAGGGTGCCTAAGCTCAGGCCCGAGGGGCACTAAACCCCCTACCAGGGTCAGAGTTGAGGACAAGTCAGCCCAGGCACCATCCCCATCTCTGGCTCTTCTCCTCAGCCCTCCCAGGCCAGCCCCACCCATTCATGCTGCCGGGTAGCAGCTGCTCATCGAAGAAGGACCGGTGACAATTAACCTGCCACGTGCAGCCTATTTATACCCTGGGCAAAGGAACCACCTCACCGATCGGCAGGCTAATTACAGAGGTCTGTTTGCTGGCCTCCAGCTGGCCATCCCACGGGCCACCAGCATCCAAACCCAAAGGTCCAACCGCATGTGAGATTCACTTCCCTGTCCCCAGCAGCCCCCACTTGTCAAGTGGTATCAAGAGCAAGGTGGTGGTCAGCCGGGGACCATGTAATGAGTGGGCCCAGCACGGAGGCTGAGTCAGTATTTCCATCATTAACTCTCGTCCTAGGGAACAGCTGAGGTGGGGAAAGCCCATAGAACCAGCCATAAAGAGGCATTTCAGGCCATAATTTGGCAGGAACAGCTCTAAAAGGAGGAAGGGGAGTTATTTTAACAGTAAAAACATGATGAAAATGTAAAGAGAAGCAGAAGATTGGCAGCTGGGGAGGCTATTCTGATCCCGTTAATTCCGCTCGGCCCCACGGAGCTGCCCTGATGGAGACAAAGCCCCAAAAGCCACAGTGAAAGATGCTTTGTGGAGACAACTCTGAGACCACAGCGCTGAAGGGCGGCAGGGGAGGAGAGAGGAAGGAAGAGGGAGGGAGGGAGAAGGGTAAGGCCTCAGCACAGGTAATACTGGAAAACCTCCAAGGTTCCTTCTGGCTCCAGATCTATGAGCCTATGACCCCCCCTGACCTTAGTTTCCTCATCTGTAAAACGAAGGAGGCAGACTGAGAAGGTCCTTAAGGTCTCTCCAGCTTTAAAATCTACAACCCTGTGAGATTCTCCCTATACCAGGGATCACGGAACCATAGGTTTAGAGGCGAAGGGACTCCAAGGACAATGTAGTCTAACCGCGTCATTTTATGGATGAGAGGACTGAGGCCCAGAGAAATGAAGTGGTTGCTTGTCAGGGCTTTGGCATGTGATGAGGCATTGCTACGGAGAGAAGAAACAGGGTTCTCGATGGTGCTGGCCACAAACACGTCCCTATCCGGGGCTTGGCCAGGATGAACTTAACAAGTTTACACTAGTGCCCCATGATCTGAAGTGACCACAGATAATCAGGGCCTTGGTCATGACCAACGGTGGGCTGAACATCATGAATGAAGAGTAGAAGGCAAAAGAAATCCCTCAGCCCACCAGCCTGCGGTATAGAGGAAAGGGTCTGAGGCTTTGTGCGACCATGGGCTTCATCTCTCTGGACTCCCAAATCCCCTCACCTTTGAAATGGGGAGGATGATACACGTACTAC